AAAAAAAAAAAAAAAAAACACTCTGCGCCACGCAACCTTAACCCTTTCGCCTTCAATCAATTCATCTTCGACGCCATCGATTTTCACGAGAAAAAGAAAATAATTACAAGCTTTATTACTTGTTGATTCAATTTCGTGTCCGCTGAGTATTTCTGATTATCTCGTTTACCGTCGCCGCAAATTTTCGCCGGATTATTGAACTTACTTTAAAAATTCAGTCGGTGGACTTTGGCTGTCGTTTTTCCGGAGGTAGGTTTTATGGATTTGATCCTTTCACTTTATATTTTTTTGTGGGTTTTCAAGAACACCCCTTTTGGGTTTTAGACATATATTGTTCTTCAACTGTTTGTACTATTGAATTTGTGGGTTTTCGATGGTGCTTTTGCCTTCTCTTGTTTGAAGCTTTGTGTTGATTCTAGCTGCGATAATTATTGGGAAAGTGAGATTGTCTTGTAAAAGGAAACGGAAAAAATTAACAGTTTGGTTTGGGGGATGAAGTTTTTTGATAGTAGGATTTGGATTAAAGCCACAGTTTTGATATTTGTGATAGCTTTGCAGCTCTCAGGGCCATATTTCTGATACCCAAATACTGCATTTTTGTATTGTTCCTATAAACCTTGTTCTCCCTCGTGTGATCATCAAGATTGAGAAAGACCATAATAGCCGTAATTTGATTCGCGATCTAACTCCTCAATATTTTGATATAAAAAAAACGCTTCTGTCGCGATAAAGGCGGTGGGCAAAAGCCCCTGTCATGATAAATCCTGCAATATATTGGTGATGAGTATATAATGCAGCTTGAGTCATCTTTTAAGAAGAGCTTTTGGGATTATTTGGTTTGATGTTGGGATTCTCCAGCATGAATTTATAACATTGAAATTTTACTTTTTTTTTTTTGTTTTTATATTAAGTGGGTTTTTTTCAAGAAAACTCCGTGTAATCACGATTGCTGTACACGTAATTGTTTTATGGCTGTACTGCCGTTTCTTCTATTGTGACTTTTGTCTAGTTTGATTGAGCGAGATTTTGATAATGCTTTGTTTTTTGCCGTCCCTCTTTGTTGGAAGCTTATTGTAACTATAGGCTGCATTGTTAAGTGGAAAATGAGATTAGCATGTAATCAAAGAACAGTTGATTGGGGATGAAGACTTTTGTTCCTAGGGTACTTTTTCCGATTAAAGATGTGATTTTTATACTACTGATATAGCTAGGCAGCACAGGCTTGCATTTCTGATAACAAAAACTGTATTCTCATTGTTCTTATAACCCTTAGTTTCACTATGTTCACGAGCATTTGGTTAATTTGGTTAACTTTTGGGTTTTTTTTTTTTTCCAGCATGGTGCTCTGATCGAGCCATCCGGGTAATGGACTGGCTGTTTTTGCCTGCTGTCAGTTTGTATGAGTGATGTTCAGAATCAGTGGGCAAAAAGGCGTTCACGCTTTCAACTTATTCAATTGGAAAAGGCGTAGTACAACATCTCTAACCACTGGGCTTCTTAATGACGAGCCTCATGAAATCGAATTGTCCGATTACCACAAAGCGCCTAGTCACTGCAGTGAAAGCCCGTCTGGGTTTCTTGATGGAGAGATCTTAAATTCAGAGCCGATTGACGACTTGGATCTGTTCTTCGAGAGGGTTTACAACTATTACTGCGAGAAGGGTCTTTGGTGCATTATCATTAAGTGGGTGTTTGAGCTTCTAAGCTTGGCTTTCACAATATGCTTCTCTGGATTTTTTTTGCTTTATGTCGATTGGAATGGCCTTCGAAATGCGAAGTGTGGGATGGATGCCATCGAGTCGGGTATCAAACCTTGTGACCTGTCCAAGGAAGCTTTGCATGAGCACCCACTGACTCCTTTTACTCTCTCGAAGGCTATAATTCTAGGGTATTTGGGAATCTTTTCGATCTACTGGATTTTCTGCTTTCTGAGGTTCTTTGCACAATTGAAGGAGACTCTAAAGATCCGTCGATTTTACTACAGCAGGTATTGCTAGATGGTTTATTGGTATCTAATACGATTGAAGCCATATTGAAATTCCATAAAACGTAGTACCTTTTTGTAGCCCAATTTTTTGCGTAAGCCCAAGTTAGGGGTGTGTTGTTTATTAAAAAACTCAATTAATACTCAATCCATACTCAAAATCTAACTCAACTTTAATCCAACCCCACTATCTTCAATATTATCAATATAATTAAATAATACCAACCAATCATTCTTACACGTAAAATCAACTTTAATTCACTATTCATCCACACACATAATTTTAACCAACTACCATTTCATATCATCTCTCTCATACTTTTACATCAAATCAACTTTAATTACATTATTTTAATATAAATTCAAAATCTCACTAACAACTAACCATACTCTCTTTTTAAAAAATTAATCATGGCTAGCTCTTTTTGAGTGAATATATTTGTATCAAAGCACGCCCTAACTGATGGGGTGCCTTTGTGCAGTCTACATGTCACGGATAATGAAATCCAGACTATGCCATGGTCTTCGATACTTGAGAAAGTCGTCCACGTGCAGCATTCACAGAAGCTATGTGTGGTGAAGGATCTTTCTATTCACGATGTGGTGATGAGGTTGATGAGAAAAGAGAATTACTTGATTGGGATGCTCAACAAAGGGGTGCTTTCCTTCCCAATGTCTTGGTGGGTCCCGGGTGCTGGCACAACTATCAATGTCGGCTTAAATGCTGCACAGCATCGTCTGGTTCTGCCAAAGACCCTCGAGTGGACCTTGAATTGGTGCATACTGCAGAGCATGTTCGACAGGTAACTCGTCAACTTCCTTATGCTGCATAATATTCTAAGAAAGTTTATAGACAATGTTTTATTTATTTATTTATTTTTGTGTACTGAGGTCTGGGCTGTTTGTGGAAGTTACTTTTATAGAGGGATTGTATCATTTGATCTTAACCTGATGGAGAAGAAAAGTGTATGATAGTTGTTTGATTTCATAGTTTTCTTTCTGTTTCCACAGAAATTTCTGCATACGAAGGGATTTTGTTTCTGATCCTAATACATTGAAGAAAAGGCTTATGATAGTCGGCTTTGCACTGCTTCTTCTCTCCCCATTCCTTGTTATTTTCATGCTGGTATACCTCTTTTTGAGGCACGCCGAACAATTCTATAATCATCCGAGTACTGCATCATCTCGTAGATGGTCAAATCTCTCTAAATGGATGTTCAGGGAATTCAATGAGGTACTCCTCGAAACTTAACCCTGATTTAAGTGCCAAAGCCTCTCTGTCTCTTTCTCTCTCTCTCTCTGTTTCTGTGTGTGTGGAAACTGAAAAATGGCCAATGCCTATGGTAGGCTTACTCCAAGGAATCAAAGAATCTTTTTTGGATAAAAAATCCTTATTAAACTTGAAAGAACATTTTAGTAACTGTAAACTCTAGCTAAATATTTGTAAGTGCATTAGCCGGTTGTCCCATCTTCAACCTTTCTTTAATATATTAATTTTTAACCTCCTCCTCTCTTTGTGCCCATAGCTTCTTTACGATGAGGATTATTTCCCGTTGACTGTCATTTACTTTCTTAGGTTGACCATTTGTTCAAGCACCGGATGAACAGCAGCATAGCACACGCCTCGGATTATTTAAAACAGTTCCCTTCACCTATCTTATCTATTGTTGCAAAATTCATCTCGTTTGTTTCCGGGGGTTTTGCTGCTGTGCTCATAATCATCGCATTCCTCGAGGAGTCTCTTCTGGAAGGCCATGTAATTTTTCCAGATTCTAGCAGAATTTGTGTTTTGTGCCATTTCTTATTATGGGTTCTGTTTACCATTTGCAGATATTTGGTCGGAATTTATTCTGGTATGCGGCCGTTTTCGGGACTATAACGGCTATAAGCCGAGCTGCCATGATGGATGAGCTTCTGGTCCTCGATCCGCAAGGGGCCATGACCCTTGTTGTTCAACACACGCACTATATGCCGAAAAAATGGCGCGGGAAAGAGCACACTGAGACTGTTCGTCTCGAGTTTGAAACTCTTTTTCAGGTATTCAAACTACTTATGATTTTTGCTTGTTTGATGATTTTACATATACTACTGAATTTTAAAAAATATGTTGAAAAGACGCTTTCTTTTATTATTAGTTTTGTTTCAACTGTAATATATCAACTTAAATTTGATATTTAGTATTTACGGTAAAGTATTGTGTTCAATATTAGGATATATGAGGTTTATGAGGCAAGCTGCAAGTATATGTGTGCATTTAATAGTTTATTGAGTGAAAGACCAACACATGTGAACTTCATGGTGTGCAGTACACAGGGATGATGCTAATGGAGGAGATGGCCTCGATTTTTCTCACACCTTATTTACTTTTATTTGTTGTTCCTAAGGTTGGTTTGTTACACAGTTTGTTCTCTTTTACATTTATTTTCACCATAATAAAAGATTATTCCCTGAGAAAACTGTTCGATTTGATGTCGATCTCGCAGAGAGTAGATGACATCTTACAATTCATTATGGATTTCACTGTGGATGTTGAAGGTGTAGGTCATATTTGTAGGTATGCATTAAGCCACTATCTTCCGAAAGTTGTCCATTTTTTTTTAAATGCTTGTCAAAATCGGAGAGAACCCATTTATTGTCAATTTTGTAATCACGTCACTTTTTATTCCCGACAGTTTTAGCCTGTTCAATTTCAAGAATCATGGAAATCGGAAGTATGGATCAACATACAGTTCGCCTTGTGATCGGAGGAGTTCACAGGGGAAAATGGAGAAGTCGTTTTTGAGGTTCGTCGAAACTATCGTAATTCTTGATCGAACTTTTTTAAAGCTTGGAATAGTTTAGGCTATGTTTGGTACAACTAGCTTGTAGCTTATAAATGATTTTCGAGCGTAGCTTATAAGTGATTTTCGAGCTTAGACCTTATAGCTTATGACTTATAGCTGAAAAGGTTAGTTTATATAATAAAAGTATTTGGTAAAATTAGTTGATAAACTAGCTTAAATGAAAATTTCAACGAGTTTATTTGAAAAAGTACCCAAAGAAGGTTATGAGATAAGCTCGATCTTTTTAAAAAAGCTCGTCCTACCAAACTAAGCTTATTAGCATACATGAAGCTTAGACGCTAACCAAATAAACTATAAGCTAGCTAACTTATTTGGTTACCAAACATAGCCTTACTATACCCTCGAATTCTTATAAATAATCGCTTAGAAGCTTTATTTTACAATTCACTCAAAATGTGATGCAACATGTACAAGCTAAAAACATGTCAATGAGGTATTTCCAAGTTCCAACCGTACAGGCCTCAAGCATACGATTTGGAATTATCCCACAAAACTCGTGTCATCTTTTCCTAAAATTCTGTTCAAATAATATGTACGTGCAGCTTTCAGATTGCCTATCCTTCTTGGGAACCCAATCCCGACGGGAAACAATTCTTGAAGTCTCTAAAAAAATTCCGAGACCAAAAGCTGCCAGGTCATCATCGAACCCACAGCCCGAACTACCGAAACCTAGGGTCGACCGATCGGAACAGCTTCCTCTTCTCGAGAGAAATGAACCCTACGAGCAGCCCGCAAAATCTCCGCTCGTCAGAATCCACATGGCTGATAGAAGTTGAACACAAGAATTTCCCTTACATTTTGGATTGGTACTACACCTCTCAAAATCATGACAGAAAAGAAAAAGACGAGGAGAATCCGACAACACCACCCTCGGGAAATTACGAAAACGCCCCTAAGGACGAGTTTTGGACCCCCCCACCAAACCTGATCATCCGACACAACCCGAAATATGACGAGAACTGGGATGATGACGAGGACCCGTTCGAGGACCATCGCCACCTGGAAGCATCCACGTCAGCGCCGCTTTTCCAGGAGAGCGTCTTGCAGCATCACGAACCGGACGGCGCAGAGAAGCCCGCGAGGAGCCACTGGTGGGCCCGAACCCAGCTGCAAGGCCCGGGCCCACAAACGAGCTTCCTCGAGCCCCCGATTTTTTACCGGGAGGCCTCGCGCGAAATTTACGAGAACTTCTCGGACAGAAGCATGGAGGAGCAGGAATTGGAGTTAGGGAACTCGAGACTAGGCGGGACTTTCTACATGGACGATTTAGGCAGTGGGGATTTTAATCTTCCTTTCGATGATATTTATGGGGACCGGCTGGAAACCTTCGCCGGAGAAGAAACGGACCCGGCGAATCTCGTGTGATTGTTCTTCTTCCTTTTGGTTTTTGATCCCTCCCCAATATGAAATGTCTGCAAGGTTTGCTGCTGGACTTTTTTGTGTCCTTGGGAAAAAAAGTGAATAATAAAAATGGGATATCTGATTCTTTGTTGTATATATTTGTGTACATAATTAAATTCTGGAACCATTTTTCTCTTTAGAAGGTGAGGGGATTGTACTGTTGTTTTTCTTCTGCTCTAATATTATTCTGCAGACTGATGATCATTTGTCTTTGAAGTTTTAACTCTGTTTTAATCTCTGTTAGTGTGAAGCATTCTTGTTATGAGGTAGGTTTTTCTACCAAGGTTTACTAGTTTTTGTGAGCATTCTCATACTGACTACTGAGTATTGCTTGTGTATGTTTTCCAGCAAGAGTTGTGATTTTCTTGAAGTGCAGCCGTTTGATATCTCTCTATATATTAATTCAAAACGAGTTGAGCTTAGGTGAAAGATTTTCACGTTTCGGATGTTGACATGGCGAAAATCTATGCTTCGTGATGTTGTTTTTATATTATTTTTGCTCTAGAGCTAGGTTTGGTATTAGACATAAATAATTTTACACATATATTCATTAACTCAACACTCATGTTGTATATGAGTATTAGTATTAGTAGTTTTTATTTAAAAAAAATAAAAATTATTTGATTTGAGATGAAAATAATAAATTAACATCCGGAACATATTTTATTAGATCTATCAACCATTCCTGATTTAAGAATATTTTACCCAAAATAAAAACATATTAGCAGCGAAAATAATTATCAAGGGTTTTTCAAGGGTTTTTTACAGTTCAGAGGAAATAGGTAGATTTAAACCTCGCAGCTTCTTCACTGTGTTGAAGAAGAATCACAGGCTCCACTTCAAATCTGTCCGCCATGAGAAGAGCTTCCTCCAAGCTTCTCCCTCACCTCAAAAAACAACACAGCAAACACCCCAAAATCCCACCTTTGTCCGCCGATTTTTCCACCTCCTCCGAACACTCTCTGCCGCGCCACCCGAAATCCCAACAGAACAAACCATTCTCCGAAACGCAACCTCCGCTCTATCCCAACTTCGGATTTCATGGCTTCCGGCCCGGCCCGTCTCACAATTTCAGCACCCTCGCAGGCCCAATTGCCCAGAACGGGCCCCAGGTGCCGTCGAGGCAGCGGAAAGTCATGGAAAGAGCAGATCTCGAAGAGGCCTTCGAGTCCGCGGAGTCCATCGATGAAATGCTCGAGGCCTTCAAAGCCATGGAGACAGCTTTCGAAGAGAAGGATTTAGGTTTGGCCTGTCTGAAAATCGGTCTCAAGCTGGATAAAGACGGTGAGGATCCTGAAAAGGCTCTTTCATTTGCTCAAAGAGCACTTAGAATTTTCGATGACTGTAATGATAGCAATACCGACCGTGGCTCGAGTAATATGTTGTCTCTACCGATTGCTATGACTCTGCAGTTGTTGGGTTCTTCCAGCTTTAACCTCAAAAGGTTCAATGACAGTTTAGGCTATTTGATTAGGGCCAATAGGGTGTTGTCGAAGTGTGAGGCAGAAAGTTCTGTTTACAGGGACGAACAAATTATGCCTATTCTGCACGCGGTTCAGCTGGAGCTTTTCAACGTGAAGACAGCCATGGGCAGGAGAGAGGAAGCTATCGTTCATCTGAAAAAGTCGCTGGAGATTAAAGAAAGAACCCTCGATGAAGACAGTAAAGAGCTCGGTAAAGCCAATCGGGATATGGCCGAGGCTTATGTTGCCGTCTTGAATTTCAAAGAGGCATTGCCCTTTTGTCAGAAGGCTTTGGACATACACACAGAACATTTAGGACACAATTCGGTAGAAGTTGCCTATGATAGAAGACTACTCGGGATCATATACACCGGATTAGAGGATCACGAGAAGGCACTCGAGCAAAACCAGCTGTCAAGAAAGGTCCTGAAGAAGTGGGGACGCGACTCGGATTTGCTCCGAGCAGAAATCGATGCTGCCAATATGCAGATTGCTTTGGGCAGGCACGAAGAGGCCTTTAACACCTTGAAAGGTATTGTGCAGCAGACTGAAAAGGAAAGCGAGGATCGTGCTATGGTATTTGCGGCCATGGCGAAAGCCCTTTGTAATCAAGAGAACTTTCCGGATGCTAAAAAGTGCCTGGATATCTCGTGCGGGATTTACGAAAAGAAGATAAGAACTTCCCCTGATGTTGTGGCGGAAGCTTTTACTGAAATCTCGACGCTTTACGAGACCATGAACGAATTCGAGACTGCAATATCTCTGTTGAGGAAAACGCTAGCAATGCTCGAGAAGCTTCCTCAGGAGCAGCACTCGGTTGGGAGCGTGTTGGCTAGGATCGGTTGGCTGCTTTTGTTGACAGGGAAAGTCGAGCAGGCCGTCTCAGTTCTGGAAGACGCTGCTGAAAGATTGAAGGAGAGTTTCGGTTCGAACCATTATGGGGTGGGTTATGTGTATAATAATCTTGGGGCGGCTTATTTGGAGCTGGACAGGCCACAGTCAGCAGCACAGGTATTTGCATATGCGAAGGAGATTATGGATGTTGCGCTTGGACCACATCATGTGGACTCAATTGAAGCGTGTCAGAATCTCTCGAAAGCTTATGCGGCTATGGGAAGGTGAATGAAAATCTATAAGAAATAATTTGCACCTTGGATTGGGTCTGGTTTATTGCTTTGCCTAGATGGATTTATTTTCTTCTATGCTGAAAATTAGAGTGGATTAGTTGGTCTTAAAGTTGGTGGTTTTGATTTTCTTTCTATTTTTCATTTTAATTATTTTTTGTCTGGTTTTGAGTTACTCTCTAGGAAAAATTATCATGGTAAAATGATAAACCATAATTGTGAGATCATAGTGACTTTAATCTGAATATGTTGGTAGAATTTAAATATGTTGAGGCCAGTTTGCTGAATCTAAAGATGTCGATAGAATTTCTGTCTCAGTTCTAGAAAGAGAAATGAACTCGGGAAAAAGCTGTATTCTTTCTGGTGAAGTGAAGTAAGTTAATGCTTCAAAATTGGTTAATGGTCTTCATTAGATCCCAATCCGTATTCCTCCTGATGTTTAAGGAAGTTGATTGTAGAATCTTGTGAAGTGTACAATATATTCACCAATACTTTGTTAAAAGGGCCTTATATCCATCACTCAAATGTGATCACAAAGCCTTTCGTTATCTATATTGAAATTTAAAAAAAAAAAAAAAAAGATTACTAAACATTTTTTGTTCTTGTTATTAATTCTCCCCATTTTTTATATTCTTTCTGGAATGGTCATATGTAAATACTAAATATACCACCTGATTAACTCTGTCTTCGATTTGTCAGCTACCCACTAGCGATTAGCTTTCAAGAGGATGCAGTTGAAGGTTTGGAGAGACATGGACCAAGTGTACAAGATGAGCTCGATGAAGCTGTTCGAGTGCTGGGGCAACTAAAAGAGAAGGCTAGCGCCCAAGTTTCTGAAGCTCTTCTGAAAGATTTCCCTATACCCGAAGGCGATGAACATTTCGAGGCAAAGGATTCATCGGCTTTAGAAAGGTAATGCCATAAAACAAACTTGTTTTACAAGATGAAGAAAAAAAGGAGTTATGATAGGCATGTCTTTCTTCTTAAGCTGTGGAATTACTTGATTTAGTAATCTCTTTGTTTTTATTGTGGTAGAGAAATTATGGCCAATTTGGTTGGTTTTTTAAGGTGGCAGTTTTGATTTTTCTTTATTCTTGATTCTTCTTTTTTTTTTTTTTTTTTTTTTTTTTTTTTTCCTTTTGTTATTCTTGTGGTTTTTTGAGCCATTTGTAGGGAATTTTTGACATGAAAAATGTGAAGTCTTATTCTGAGAATCTTGGATTTAATAAATTACTATTTGTTGAACAATTTCAAACTGGGGCTATAGATGAGACTGGGAAAAAACCGAGATTATATTCTTGCCTACCGATATTGAAGCAAAATCCTTTAGTAGAAATTTTTGCGTCGATTTTAGAAAAGAGATATTGACTAGGACAGAAGCTTTATTCTTTTACGGTGAAGTGAGGTAAAATTAATGCTTCAAACATAACTATTGTCCTAATTCCCTCTCGATGTTTAGAATGTGGGTTTTTAGAATCTCATAAAATGTAGAAGAAAATCATCGACAAAAAATATATTCTTGTTTGTATGTTTGTTGAATCTCCTCATTTTTTGTCAGTAACGGTCCAAGTCCGCAAGACGAGCTCGTTGAAGCCATTCGACTGCTGGAGCATCTAAAAGAGAGAGAAGCTCGTATGAAAGCTTTCACTGCACCCGAAAAAGACGATGAATAATGAACCTTTCCTTGATAAGGATTCACCTTCTGGAAAGGCAGCTGTAAAAGAGGTAAAGCCATGAAGAAGCAAATTTTTTTTTATCAGAACATGAAGAAAGAAAATGAGTTTATGATACGGTGAACCTCAGGCTCTTAACGTTACTTTGGTTTAATAATATTCAGTCTTGAAGGTGCTTATGAAATTCGAAAAAGGCTAGTTTTGTGCTAGCTTTCTTCTATGCCTGCATGAATATGCTGCTAACTACTGAATAATGAAAGATTCTGGGTTTTTGGTTTACAACATAGCTATTTGCTGACTACTGAATAATGAAAGATTCTGGGTTTTTTGTTTACAACATAGCTATTTGCAGATAATGTTAACTTGAAT